AATATTCATTCACATAAAATAAAAAATTATAAAATATTTTTAAAAGACTAGATTGAGGGGCTGGAGAGATAGCTCAGCAGTTAAGAGCACTGACTGCTCTTGCCGAGGACCCGAGTTCAATTCCCAGCACCCACATGGCAGCTACAAACCATCCTTAACTCCAGTTCCACGGGTATCTGAAGCCCTCTTCTGACCTCTGTGGCATTACACGACACGGGTGCACTCACATACATGCAAGCAATACACTCATACACATAAAATAAACCCTAATTTTAAGACTTTTTTTTTTTGTCTTTTTGAGACAGGGTCTCCTTGTAGCACCAGCTGTCCTAGAACTCATTATGTAGACCAGGCTGGCCTCGAACTCACAAAGATCCACCTGCCTCTGCCTCCCAAATGCTGGGATTAAAGGCATGCGCTGCCATGCCCGGCAGTAAATATTTTTTAAAAGACTAGATTGAATTTTATCAATGGATTTTTTAAATTATTATTTTTATTTTATGTATATGAGCACATTGCCTGCATGTATGTAAGTGTGCCCTTGTCATGCAATGCCTGAGGAGGTCAGAAGAAGGCACCAGATCCCCTAGAACTGGAGCTATGGACGGTTGTTAGCCACCATATGGGTGCTGGGAATTAAACCCTCTGCAAGAACAGCCAGTGCTCTTAATCGCTGAGCCATCTCTCCAGTCTGAGCGTTGTTTTGTTTGGTTTTGGTAAAGAAATAAAGCCATTTTTCTAACTAAAATCTTACAAAATGACTGATAGGTGAAATGAAGGTGCATCACCTTGGTTGAAGCAAAGTCAGACCCCCATACTACTCTCTCACACACACACGTCCCACTTACACTCAGCCCCACCCAAGCCACAGGGTTGAGGGAATACAGTTGAAAGAAAATTACTGGACCAGACTAACTCTAAGGATTCTTCTGGCACTTTTACTCTCCTCTAGCTATGTTGGTTTTGTGCTGGCCATTAGCTTATGTATCCCATCCTAGCAATAGTGTACCTTGGTTTTGTGCTGGCCATTAGCCTGTGTATCCCGTCCTAATAATAGTGTGCCCAGGCTGTGACTCATCTCCACAGTCTTTGGAGGATTTGTTCGAATGGTTGTAGAAACGGGTTGCTGTTAGGGATGCATTTCAATGCTTGTCTCTGCTGTGTTTATTAATAATCTTGTTAATCCCCACTCTAGTTCCCGGATATAGCTAACACTGGTCGGAAGTCCTTGGGGGGCATTTTAAATTCTCCCTGATTCTTGGAGCCAGACGCTTCCTTCTGCCTGAGTCCTGGTACTTCTGTTCATGAATATTTTACATTTAATCTCCCCAATTATACCTCCATGTGATGGTTATGGCGCATTGGCTACATTTCTCAGGAAAGACATACAGAAAGCCCAAGGTAGTGCAGCAGTGCAGCTCCAGACACCTTTGTAGTTGTGCCACTTGGATGGCCTTCTACCATGGACAGTGATGAAGGAGCCACTGAGTAGGGGCTTGGCATGGAGCCTCTCAGCCTAGGGCTTTGATCCTCTGATTTCACTCATAATCAGGTACCTCCAGGAACTTCCTTTGAGGGCCATAGCAGAGGGGTCACTGTGATCAGAGTTGCTCAACAGCTTCCCAACCCTCATCCCAGGCCTGTGCTTCCTGTGCATTCTGCCTCCAGTGTTGTCAAGACCTCCAACTTCAAAGAAACCTATGAACTCACAGGCACTGAGATCCTTCTCAGTTAACTCCAAGTGCCTAATGGTTTGTGTGTTTTAAAATCAGCCTCTAGCCAGGTGTAGTTTCGTACTCCTTTGATCCCAGCACTCAGGCAGCAGAGGCAGGTGGATCTCTGTGAGTTTGAGGCCAGCCTGGTCTACATATTGAATTCCAGGCCAACTGGGGCTACAGGGAGTCCCTGTCTCAAAAAGACCAAAAAAAAAATATGTATATATCATTCCAGACTTCAGGGGACATCAAGGTCCCTCAAGGAGAGAATGGAGGCCTGATGGTGGGACCCTGCCAAGGGGACCCTGCCATAGACAAGAAAACTGCAAAGGGACAATTAGATGATGGTCAGAGGCAAAGATGAGCCATGGGAGTATAGTATCCTGGAGAAAGCCATTTCCAAATGGATGTGACATGTGTCACAGGTAGTGAACGCTGCAGAAAGAGGAAAGGAATGTGACGGAGATGCCTGGAAATTTACCAGGGCTTCACTGGCAAGGTCCTAGCGCATGTTTACAGCACTTTCCATTTGAAAGCCTTTCTGACTGCCTGGGGGGTGCGCTCACCCTGTGGCCTAAGAGGAATGCAGGAGTCCAGCCATCAGGGCTCTTCCTCCCTTGTAAGTAGCAACTGAGAAGACATTTGGGCCTCAGAGAAGCATATAAGAGCCACTGCAGGCCAGCGTCCCCAAGGTGCAGCCTGAAAGGAGTCTCCCAAGGAGCTCTGTTGAGCCCAGGAGAATGAAGAATTGAGAGGGTCTGCAGCATTGGAATTTGCTTAAGATGCAGGGAGACACTGCTGCACCCTACCTTTCCCTGCAGAGCGTGTGTCACCCTTCCCTCTAAGCCATGGATAAGGGGTGGGGATTGAGACAGAGAAGTAGGCCCAGGTTCTGCCCTCAGAGACCTGTGAGCCACTGTGGCAACACAACCCATCCAAGAACACAGGCAGCATCTGGACTTCCCTCCCAAACACCTAAGACTTCCCCCTTTTTCCTTAGTGACAAGCACATGTTTATGTCTCTTGACACATTATTTTGATTTTGTGTCTGTTTGTGTGTGATGCATGTGTATGTGTGCACACATTTGTGTGAGTATAGGTGCACATGTGCCATGGTGCACAAGTGAAGGTCGGAGAACAACCTCAGTGTCAGTCTTTGTCTTGCACCTTATTTAAGGCAGAGTCTCTTTGTTGTTCACAGGCCATCTGACCCATAAAGTTCCATGATTCTCCTGTCTCTGCCTCCCATCTTGCTGTAGGAACTCTAGGATTATAGGTACACATGAGCCCAGTTTTACATGAGTCCTGGGAATTCAAACTTGGGTCCTCACACTTGCCCAGCAAGCACTTTAACCACTGAGCCATCTTACTAGATCCTACTTCCTCATTTTGTATAGGTCACCAGCAGCTACACAGATCCCTGGGCCTGACACTGGGCCCAGTCCTGGAATATTCTACCTGCCCAATCTTCAAAGACAGAACAAGCACATGGTATGAAGTCCTCATACCTTAGGCTGATCATTCTGTAGTCCCTGGTTAAAATGAAAATTTGAAGGATAGCATACTTGTATTGAGTTGGTCATCCAAAGCCAGGCATGGTAACACACACCTTTAATCCCAGCACTTAGGAGGCAGAGGCAGGCAGATCTCTGTGATTTCAAGGCCAGCCTGGTCTACATAGTGAGTTCCAGGTCATCTGGGGCTACAGGGAGACCCTGTCTCAAAAAAAGGGAGTTGGTCATCCTTGGGGGCTGGAGAGATGGCTCAGCAGTTAAGAACACTGGCTGTTCTTGCAGAAGACCCAGGTTCGAATCCCAGTACCCACATGGCAGCTAACAACCATCTGTAACTCCAGTTCCAGATGATCTGACACCCTCTTCTGTCCTCCCCAGGCATTGTACAACATGGATTCACAAAATACATGCATACACATAAAAGTTTTTTAAATTAAGCAAAAAAAAATTTTTAAAGAGTTGGTCATACTAAGAATCAAGCTCATCACCCTCCACCTCCAAAATCTGACAATTATGAAAACATATTGAGGATTAGAGAGATTGCTCAGTGCTTAAGAATACTTACTGCCCTTGCAGAGGACGTGGGCTCCATCAGGGGACTGACAAGTGCCTGTAATTCCAGCTCCAGGGAATCTGATGCCCTCTGGCCCCATGGGCCATGCACAAGGTGTACATAAACTCACTCAGGCACGCACACACACATGTACATAATAAATAGCATCTATGTATGTTCCAGGAAAAGAATTACAACAAAACTCATATGTTACCTATAACAGTGAAATGATTGTAGAACAGTAGCATCTAACATGTATTTTGTTTACCATATGCAAGTACTGCTTAAAGTGATGAAAAATCTTTATTCTGCCCCTCAAAAAAGAAGTTGAGAATGGTCATCATCTTCTCAGAATGTAAATGGCTGCAGCCTCTTCCACCCAAGACAGGGGTGGGCCAGGGCTCTGGATCTCGTGCAGAGGGGGTTCTTTTGGAGAGTCAGCAAGGCTAGCTAAGGACTTTAGGCAGTACAGGGTTCACCCCAGAGGTAGAGGCTAATGAGGGGTCTGGCAAAGGAGATTGAAGAGATTGCACCCCAAGAATGTGTGCTTCCCTACCTCCCTTGTTATCAGTAGCAGCAAGTGCTTTGCTCTCGGGTGACACAAAACTAAGCAGTCACCTACTAATTTGTCATATTTATCTTCTCACCTACCATACCCAGCCAGCCTCACAGGTTCTCCCAGAAGACACTCCTCAGGGCTCATCTGAGAACTTCAGAACTCTTCATTAGACTTTTTTGTCAGTGGCTGGAGATTTGTAATCTTGCCTGGCTTGACTAGTAGGTTCTCTGGACCATGCAAAGGGACCTGTCTAGCACTGGGAACTAGAAGGAGAAGGCCTGTCTCAGTGAGCATTTGCTCTGATCTTATCCACACTTAAGTTCAAAGGGACTTAGAGCTTTTCTGAACACACAGACAGACAAGCCTGAGGAACAAGGTAGCTAGTATAAGAATTTGAAGAGCGGTCCTGTGGGCTTACAGGAGTTTTATCAGCTATTTGTAAGAGCCTAGATCACACAGGACTCTGGTTGGATGTGAGTGGGACATAGATCTTTGGCTCTTCTACTGAATCTGCCCCTCTCTCCCTGGATGCCTGGCCTGCTCCTGGAGGCAAATGGTCCCAGAACCTCTGAGGGCAGATGAGGAGGCTTGCTTCGGGGCTTAGGGCAACCCCTGGGATCACTTGCTAACAACTCTGTCCCTCTTTTTTCTCTCTATAGGACCCAGCCGCCGCCTCTATCTCAGATGGAGACTGTGATGCCCGGGAGGGTGAGTCAGTAGCCATGAATTACAAACCATCCCCGCTCCAAGTGAAGTTGGGTGAGTGTGTCTGGGTGGTGAGAGAGATGTGGGGAGTGAACAAGGTGCTCTTGGGCTGGGTTTTCAGCTAGGTGCCACAAGTAAAGTAACTCAGGCTAGATGATTCCAACACTGAAGTCACCAAGACATTGGCACTACTGGGCACTTTATCTCCTATAAGACAAAGAGGGCAGTTACAGCTCTCTGAAGAATCTTGAAACTAACTCTAAGAGAGATCTCAGAGGCCAAGAAAGGCTCCAAGTATTCCAGGGGATGCCTGCAGGATGGAACCTCAAGAGAGGACTTGGAAGTGCTAGTGTGTTAGCCAGGAGAAAGCTGCCTCTGAAAGATGGGATAGCAGTTGCTATGTCTGAGGAACAGAAAGAGATGAGGATTCCAAAGCCCAGAAGCCAAACCCATCTTCCTAGTCCAACCTCAAGATCTCAGGGCCTAGATGACTTCTCTTTGAGAAGGTTACCCTTTACTTTGTGAATCCCAGAACCTCCCCTAACTTTCCAGGTAGCTCATCATCTTTCTCTTGGGGGTGTACTTCATGTCCTCTCTGATGTCCACTTACTACCCAGCTGGTTGCCTTGAAGTCATCTGACTCCCACAGCTCCTTCAGCTGCATTCTTGCCTCTCTCTGCTGAACACTGCTTCTTTCCTTTCATGGACCAAAATCTCACTGAACCAATAGATAATAAACTTCCACAAAAATTTGGTTTCCTGAAGAAAAATTATAACATGCACACACAGGGAAGAGATACAATCAAATACAGGCCATCCTGTCCTTAGAACTCCTGTCATCCCCGCCATCTTTCTCTTCCGGCTCTAGCTGCCCACCAGAACTGGGCCCTTCCTCGGTTAGGACTGAACCCCTTCCCATGTCTTGGAAAAGCTCTCCCTCCATAGCTGTCAGAATTCCTTTACACAGAGCCATGTTCTTTTAGTCAAATTGTTTAAAGCCTTGCTTCTCTCCTCCTAGACCACATGCAGAGAGCCCCTCAGGTTGATTTTTTAAAAAGGAGAGTAATTCTTTCAATGGGATTGTTCATCTTCCTAGGACATTCAACTCAAAGTACAGCCAGTTTTGTTGTTTGTTGTTTTAATACAATAAACTCATTTTAAGCACATGTAAGTTCTCTACTCTCTCCATCTCATTATCTTCCGTTGAGGTAGATAATCCGAGTCTTTGCAGTTTTATTTTGGACTTTAGCACAAGTGTATCCCACTATACACATTGTGAAGCTTATTCCCTTCCCCCTACATTATGTCTCCAAGTTCCTACAGAAAACACCTTCATTCTTTTAAATGGTTGCATAGTAGTCTGTAGTTTAGGCCTCCTCAGTTTATTATTTGCATTTTTTTCACGATTTCAAACAAACAGCATGCTTCTAAAATAACCGTTTTATTTCCTTCACCATTACATTACCATGAAAGCTCATGAAAATTCACAACTTGTCTGACTTGCTCTGAAGATGATCATTACGGGAACTTTAAGGCAAATTGCACCCCCTAGAGGCTTGATGTGGTAACGACAGCTGATGCCTGCTGGAAAGAGGCTGGAAAAAGCTGGAGTCAGATGAGTCTAGGCAAAGAAAGGATCAGAGAGTAGAGAAGAGAGCTTCAAAGGCATGGAGATCAGAGGACATTTTGAGTAAGTCCCAGTAGCCATGACGACCCTTCCGATCCATACACTCTGCCTTTTTTATGAGACAATTTTCTCCCAGTGTTTCTTTCATAGAACAGATACTTTTCCTAGATCTGGGCTTTACTTGACATGAATCAAAAAGAGTAGTTGAGCCTCCTCCCTGTTCAGGCAGCACTGGTAGTAACTTATGTACTAAGCAGTGAATCACCAGATGTCTATCTGGATGAGCATGGTAGGCTCTGGACCCTTGGAGAGCTCCAAGATAGGCAGGGGTCAGGTGGATCACTTAGGTAACAAATGAGTTCCTCCAACCTCCTGCCCTCTGCCTTACCCATGACCCCTTTCTACCTCTCCCACTCTGCAACCATCAGCGATTTCTTTTTTTTCATCTGCATTAATCCCAAATGCCTCAGTCTGACATTCAAGGTCTTTGTGCTCTGAGTTTGTAACCACTTGAGACATAGTTGATGACTCTATTGTTTGTTGAGTGAATATGTAACTGAATAAATGGCTTCTTTCCCATCCTCAACTCTTTCCCTCTTCACCCCTCCATTCCATTCACACCCACAGTTATGTTCATTTTAAATTCATTTTTGTGCACTGTCCCTCCTTCCTAGAGTGTCCTCCTCTCTCCAGTGTACAGCACCACCCAAAGGAAGGTCCCACTGACTACTTCAACCTTCTGTGTTCATCTCTTCCTCTCTAGCCTTTGCTTGACTGACTGCCCCACATGGAAACTGTGGTTTCCATAAAGCAAGGGTCAACCTCCTCCTTTTGTCCCCCATTATCTGTCTCAAGTTGTTCAGGGCCAAATGCATTCCATTGAACAGGAGGTGCTTGGAGTCCCATGGGATCCCTGCCTCATAAAGAAGTAAAAGGGTTCACAAGAAAGGCCCAGCCCATGCTGCCCCAAGCAGCAAAGCATGAAGGCTCTGGGACAGGACACAGCTTCTTTCCCATGTTCTCCTGCAGAGAAGCAGCGGGAGCTGGCCCGAAAGGGTTCCCTGAAGAATGGCAGCATGGGTAGCCCTGTCAACCAGCAGCCCAAGAAGAACAATGTCATGGCCCGGACGAGGTAGATGTTCTCTCTGCCCCACCAGGACCCCACCAGCCAGCATCTATCACTGTTGGTCCCCAGCCTCCCCCTTCCCTCCTTCTTCAGGGGGACCCAAGGGGAGGACAGAGGGAGGGAGGAAGGAAAATATTGGGGCAGGACCCAGTCCAGTCCTCTGCCAGGTTTGTATGCTCCAGTTGGCATTCCAACTCCCCAAATTCTTCATTCAGGCTGGTCGTCCCTAATAAAGGCTACTCCTCGCTTGACCAGAGCCCAGATGAGAAACCACTAGTGGCTCTCGACACAGACAGGTGTGTATGGGGCCTCGGGGCAGCTGGGCAAGTCATGTGAACCTGTGCAGGCTATAAGTAGGGTGTACAGGTCACACCTGGTGTGCTCCTAAAAGTGGGGTGTTCCTCAGCCAGGAGCTCTCCAAGGGTGAATTTCTCAAGGGAGTGGATTTTTTTAAAGGAAGTTAGTGGGTAGAGAGAGGAAAGGGGACCAACACAGTTTGCTGCTGTCCACACCACTCCGTAGTGGACCCTGATACCTCTAGAAATCAGGACAGGATTCCTGATGCCCACCCCCCGTCAAGGAAGAACCGTATTCCAGGGAAACACCTGGCTAACCCTAGACTTTGAGTGTTCGAACCTGGGAAAGAAGGGAAGCAGGGAGAAGGTGACAGCAATAGGTTTTTATCTAGAAGACATTCAAGAAGGCATTTCATTTGCAAGGTGGAGGTAGTGAATCTGTCTCTGCAAACTTGCATTTGCATAGCAAGCACAGATTATTTAAGTCATTCTGTTTATCTGGGTTTCTTTGAGCCGTGTGTGGCAGAGGTACAGGGAATTTTCCACTTAATTCCCCTGAATCACTTCCTCTCTGCCCTCTTTTCTCGATGGCCAGCGATGATGACTTTGACATGTCCAGATACTCCTCCTCTGGCTACTCCTCTGCTGAGGTGAGGCTCCACCCCTTGCCGCCCCAGACGTCGGGAGCTCAACTACCAAGGCTGGGGCTCACCGGAGGCGCGGAAGCAGCGCTGGGCGGAGCCCGGCGGGGCGGAGCTTCGCTTGAGGCGGGGCTTAGGCTGGGAGAGCATTGGGGAAATCGCTCGCCTTACCCCGCAGCGAGCACCTATTGAAGCAGGGTTCGCAAATAAAACAGGTGTGAAATGCAGGCGACACCTTACAGGAGAGGACCTGATTTCGGGGTGAACCCCGAAGTGAAGCAAGGGTGGAGGTGAGAAATTGACCTTGGAATGGGCAGGAGTCTGTACAGGGCCAGGCCTCAGGAAGATGTGCCCGGGAGGAAGTGAGACCGGAGCCAGGTCTGAGTTTGAAATAGACCTGGACTGAAGTGGGGTTGACAGGTCGGCTCGGGGTTGACCCGGTGCCTTGGAGTTGCGGTGGTGGCCCCAGCCCAGGGTGACTCCTTCCCGACTCGAATCTGACCTCCCTCCCCTTTGCCTACAGCAGATCAACCAAGATTTGAACATCCAGCTGCTGAAGGACGGCTACCGGTTAGACGAGATCCCCGACGACGAGGACCTAGATCTCATCCCTCCCAAGTCCGTGAACCCCACCTGCATGTGCTGCCAGGCCACGTCCTCCACCGCCTGCCACATTCAGTAGCGGGCGGGGCCGCCGCGGCGCACGGGGCGGGGCCGACTTGGCCGGTTGGACGCAGGCGGAGGCGACCCCTCCCCAGCTCGTCCACCTGCCCCCAGCCCCTCGCCCCCTACAGCCGCCAACCTCGTAACAGTCATTGCTTCCTCCTATGGTAGGACGTGTACCTCTGTGTGTTCATGGAGCCGGAGAAACCAAAACCGGGTCTCTTTCCACCCCGGGGGCTGAGGAAGGGTGGGCACTGTTCAGTTTCTTGGGGAGGACCACACCCAGGCATCCTGCCACCCCTCCCCAAAGCTGCAGTCAAAGAGGCCAACTTCCCAGTTAAAGTAGCTGGGGAAAGGGATCACAAAGCCCAGGGGCCCCAGCCAATGAAGCCGTGACTCCCCCAGCCCCCAGCCTGGCAAAGAAGGAAGGGGGTTTGGAGGAGGAAAGGCCCAAGGTAGTGGGGCAGGTCTCAACACCTCAGGGCCCACTCCACATGCCCCCTGCCAGCTCATATACCTGTTTGTGTTTTCCCCCCACCTCCAGATGGGAAGCCTGGCAAAGCTGCCCAAAGGAATATTATCCCTCCATTAGATCACTGCCTTCTTCCTCCATTTGTCGCTCCCCTGCTTCCTTTAGTTCTGGGGGTTGGGGAGGACAAGATGGGGCTTTAGAGAGAAGCTAGGGTTTAGGATGGTATGAGCTGTTCTCACTGGCTTCTAACCCATGTATGTGTCTCTCTGCCCCCATCTCGCCACCCCCAATGCTTCTGTTTATTGGTTCCAGGCTGGAAGCAAGAGATAAAGCTTGCCTCTAGTGCCCCATATTCCCACCTCACCCTAGCCCAAGGTCCAGGAGGTTGGCTTCTGGAAAGCTCTTCAAGAGCAAGCCTAATAGAACACGGTGCACTGAATGGCTGCATGCATGTGGTAGGGAGTGCTTGCAGACTGTGTGTGTGTGTGTGTGTGTGTGTGTGTGTGTGTGTGTGTGTGTGTGTGTGGCATGTGTCTACATCTCTGTGTTGGACCTGACTGTTCAGGCATTTATTCCTGAGGTCAACATGTTGTCCATGATAGAGATAGGCTAGAGATAGGCTGTGGTCTGTTTACCGCATAAGAGGCTGCTCAGCAGTGCAGTGGACTGAGGGCCCAGCATGGCAGTCTCTTCCTGTGCTCTTCAGTAATCCTTGGGCTTTTCCAGGCCTTCAGTTTCCCAACTGGAAAATAAAGAACAACTGACTTTATTCATAAGGTCCATTATTCATACCTGAAGGAATTTCTTCATAAGAACTTCTGCAGAGGGTTATGAAGAGATCTCTATCTTTGAGCGCACCTAGGGGGCTCCTTGAGGTGTCTGCATCTGTGCAGACAGGAGAAATATACATGGACCTGTTGGAAAAGAGGCGTGTGTCTGTGAGTGTGTGTGTGAAGATGTCTACTTCAGGGAGCTGCACTGTGTGACTGAGAGAATATGTATATAGCTTCTGCTATTGTTGCTGGTCTGGGGACAGGAAAGCTGAGGATGCAACTCAAGGAGGAGGTAAATTCAGCTCTCCCCTGGCTAGACAGTATAAACCTGCCCCTGTGTGACAAAAACTGAAAGTACAGAGAGCTCAGACAGCTAGGCCCATGCCCCACCAGCCTCCTCCCACAGGGCCAAAGTCTGAACTTCCCCAGTCCTCCATGCTGACACCTCATACATGCTGGTGTATTCACTGTCACAGATACCACTCATACTGCTCTCTGAACCCAGTCCTAGGAGGTGGGGGCTGGAAGTGGGAGTTGTGAGAGGAAGGAGTGAGGCTTCTGACTTAGGAAGGGAAGCACCTCTCCCTACACCACACCCAGAAGCTTTCTCACTCCTAAGTGTTGGAGTATAGCTTTCCACTCCCCACACCTCCAGACCTTCTTCACCTTTACCTCCTGTAGTGCAGAGATCCTAATTAATGAGAAATGCCAAAGGGAGGCAAGTCAGAGAATACATCTGCAAGGGCCCCAAGGCCCACCACGGCTCCCATCTGAGTCCCTCTCTCCCACCCTGCATAGCATCCCCACCACCTATCACCTGGGCTCCAGAGCTAGACCTCATACTACCACCCCCACCCCCTGGGCTCCTTGACTCACCCTTTTGAACATGGGTACCTCTTTTTAGACTGCTGTCTTTGCTGCTGACTTATTATGGGATTCTGGCCCATTATTCAATGTGTGTGGCCCTGAGAGCCAGGAAAACCTCCCTCCCTACAGGACATACTAGTTCATTAGCAAGCAAGGGCTTCAGACTGAGGCAGTACATACACAGTGGGTAGAGATAGGAAGCTGGCAGCCAGCAGCTTCTGTGCCCAAGGAGAGTGCAAGGTTCCCCCCTTCCCTGTCTAGGAGTTGAAAGGGAGGTGCCAAGGCCTTAGTGTGCCCCCTGCCCCCCTGCCCCTTGTAGATACTGCCTTAACACTCCCCCCACCCTTGGCTGTGGCTGCCACCCAGCCAGGTTTCTCCGTGCTCACTAATTTATTTTAAGAAAGGTGTGTGGAAGACATGAGCCGTGTATAATATTTTTTTTTAACATTTCCATCGCAGTATTGACCATCATCCTTGGTTGTGTATCGTGTAACACAAATAATGATATTAAAAGCATCAAACAAACCAGACTCAGCTCCCTACCTGGGGTGTGGGCCAGGGGCAGGTGGATGGGGGAGAGGAGAAAATTTGACTGCCTGGGTGCACAGTGTCCCTCTATCTCCACTTATTACCAGCTGTGTGATCCTGAGTGAGTGAGCCTCAGAACCCCTGCCTCTCTCCAACAGTGAGAAGTCTGGCCTAGAAGGTCCCAGAAGCCCTCCGAACTCTGGGAAATTTGATATTTTGAGGGGTTCAAGGCAGGAAGGGACTGGAATAGGGAGAGAATTAGGTCTCCTCAATTCCGAGGGGATGGGGCTGAGCCAGGTGATATCATAATGGGCAGTGCCCATCCTGGCAAGGAAGCTGGGTGGGGTAGGAGCAGGAAGGCTGCAGGGAAGGGACATTGAGAGATCCTCCACAGGGGGGAGGGTCACAGCAGCTAGGGGCACCATCCAGGCTGGAGGTGTGGGCTATCTAGGAGAGAGGGTGGTCAGTGATGTCCAGAGGAGAGCCCACTACAGCATCCCTGAGACCCCAGCATGTTCCTCTTCTCTCGGAAGACCAAAACCCTCATCAGCACCTACAGTGACTCCTACAGAGCTCCTACCTCTATCAAGGAGGTCTATAAGGACCCACCTCTGTGGAAGACCAAAACCCCCATCAGCACCTACAGTGACTCCTACAGAGCTCCTACCTCTATCAAGGAGGTCTATAAGGACCCACCTCTGTGGGCCTGGAAGGCCAACAAGTTTGTGACCCCAGTAAGTAAAGGTTCAGAGTATATAATCATGTGTGTCTGGATGACTGGTCTGTGATGGCCACTATGTCAGTATTTGCAGCTTTTAAAAGTTTCATTCATATATTTATATATGTGTGTATTTATCTGTTGAGATGGGGCCTCACTCAATAGCCCAGGCTGTCCTGGGAACTGATTATGTGGCCCAAGATGGCCTCAGACTTATGGCAATCCCTCTGCCTCAAGCCACTCAAGTGCTGAGATTACAGGTATGAACTACCATACCCAGTTATTTTGTGTTTGCTTGGGGTTTATTGAGACAAAGTCTCAATAGCACAGCCTAGCCTTGAACTTACTGTATAGCCTTGGCTGGCCTTGAACCTCCCAAGTACTGGGATTATGGGTGTATGTCATTATGCCTGGCTTTATTTTTGTCATTGGTCTTTTTATGGTGCCAGGGCATCAAGCACACTAAGTGCTCTACCACAGAGCTATAGCCTCAGCCATTTAAAAAAAAATTGGGCTGGAGGGATGGCTCAGCAGTTAAGAGCACTGACTGCTCTTGCAGAGGACCCGGTTTCGATTCCCAGCACCCACATGGCGGCTACGAACCGTCCCTAACTCCAGTTCCAGGGGAATCGGAAGCCCTCTTCTCACCTCCTAGGCATTGCATGACATGGGTGCACTCACATACATGCAGGCAATACACTCATACACATAAAATTTAAAAAAAATTTTTGGCCAGGCATGGTGGCACACACCTTTAATCCCAGCACTTGGGAGGCAGAGACAGGTGGATCTTTGTGAGTTTGAGGCCAGCCTGGTCTACATAGCGAGTTTCAGGACAGCTGGGGCTACAGGGAGACCCTGTCTCAAAAAAAAATTTTAAAAAATTTTTAAGCCGGGCATGGTGGTGCACACCTTTAATCCCAGCACTTGGGAGACAGAGGCAGGTGGATCTCTGTGAGTTCGAGGCCAGCCTGGTCTACATAGTGAGTTCCAGGGAAACCCTGTCTCAAAAAGACCAAAAAAAAAATTTTTTTCTAAATGTCAAATAAAGCTGGGCGTGGTGGTGCACGCCTTTAATCCCAGCTCTTGGGAAGCAGAGGCAGGCAGATCTCTGTGAGTTCGAGCCTGGTCCACATAGTTCCAGGACAGCTGAGGCTACAGGGAGACCCTGTCTCAAAAAGACCGAAAAAAAAAAAAAAGTCAAATAAGCCTTAAAAAAATTTTTTTTTTCCTACAAGAGTAAGTTTTTCATTCTCTACTTTCTAGGTTTTTTTTAAACATTAACAGTCATTATAATTGTCTTCAAATATTTTGTGTGTGTATGTGTGAATGTGTTTATGTATGTTTAAAAAATATAGATTTTTAATATAGGGTCTCAGGGGCTGGCTTAATAATTAAGAGCACTTGCTCTTTTCCCAGAGAACCTGTGTTTGGTTCCCTGCACCCATGTCTGGCAGTTCACAACTTCCTGTAACTCCAGCTCCAAGAGATCTGATGCCCTCTTCTAGTCTCCCCAAGCACCAGCTTATGTGTGGTACTCACACAGACACACACATACACAGAAATGAAAATAAAAATAAAAATAAATCTCACCAAATTGCTCGGGCTGTCCCTAGAACTTTGCTCTGTAGCCCAGGCAATCCTCCTGCCTCATTCTTCTGAGTAGCTGGGATTATAAGCCCTTTAGACCTAAGACTGGAAACGTGGGGAGAAGCACACTTGTGAAGAGCTGAAAAAATAGAAGAGTTGAAAGTTCCAGAGTGATCAGAAAACGTACTGGCCCTGAGGTTGCCTGTGGAATGGCTGCCTATGGAAAAGGCCAGAAATGTCCCATAGAATAGGCATGTCTTTATGCCTGTATATCACAATTCCTGTCTGTCAGTACCTGAAGATGAGTGGCCAGATAGGTCTGTTCAGCTTTCTTCAAAGAAGAGAAAAGGTATCTGGGAGTCTAGTTGTGACTCCAGCTAAAAGCATTCATCTTTGTGTATGGTCCAACAAAACTCCGCTGGGTAGCTTCATGTGTAGGCAGAAAGGGTGAATCAGGGGCCAAGGAGATGGCCCAGTGGATAAAAGTCCAGACTGCACAAACCTGAGGACCTGAATTTGATCCCAGAATCCACAGTAAGACTCCTGAAAGTTGTCTCCTGAAAGTTGTCTTCTGACCTCCACATACACCATGGAACATGCGCACCTACACACACATCATACACACACACTATAAAAACTTTTTGGACTTTTTGAGACTGGGTCTCCCTGTAGTGGGGCTGGCTTGGAACTCATTATGTAGACCAGGCTGATCTTGAACTCACAGAGCTCCACCTACCTCCCAAGTGCTGGGATTAAAGGTGTGTGCCACCATGACTAAATAAGAAATTTTTAAAACTTAAAAAGAAAGTGCCAGATCTGATGACACAAGCCTATAATCTTAACACTAGGGAGGCAGGAGGATCATAAGTTCAAGGCTTGCCTGGGCTACAGGGCAAGTTCAAAGCCAACCTAGGCAACTTGGGCAATTTATTGAGACTCTCAAAAAGTTTTTTTTTTGTTTTTTAAATGGGGGGATGGAGAGCCTGGAGGAATGGCTCAGCTGTTAAGACTACTGTTCTTGCAAAGGACCCCAGTCATTTCCCAGAACCTACATAGTAGCTAACAATTGTCTATAACTCCAGTTCCAAAGGGTCCAACGCCCTCTTCTGGCCTCAGCAAGAATGTGGTATACCTACATACATGTAGGTAAAACATGCATACACATAAAATTAAATAAATCCAATTTTTTCATAAAGAAAAAGGGGATAGGTGCTGAAGATATATCTCAGTAGTAGAGTATTTACCTGGCATTTGCAAGATTTTATATTTAATCCCCAGTAATAAAAAAATAGAAAAAGAAAGACCAGAGTTGGGTGTCTTGGCACATGCCTATAATCTCAGCATTGGGTGGGGAGAGGCAGGAGGATCACAGGTTCAAGACCAGAGTGGACTACATAGGAAGCTCCATTTATAGTGAGAATACATCTCAAAAACATAAAAAGGAAGAGCCAATCCCTGCCTTTGAGGAGCTCACAGAAAACAAGTGAACAAAGTCAGTGCCTAATGTGGACCACACATCAGCAGAGCACATGTTGACAGGGGCTCCAATGAGAGGGCACTCCCAGGACTTGAAGGCCTTTGGCTATATGACCACAAGAAGGAGGCTTCCTATAGAAGAGTTGAGAAAAAGCATTCTAAGGCCCCTCCAGGAACTGAAACTTAGAGCAGAAAGAGAGAGGACATCCTGCAAACCAAGGGCCTCTGGGTTATGTTGGGCATGGACAGAAGGCTCCAGGTTCCTAACCTGGCTGAATTATGAGTTAGGTCACTCACTCTAGCCACAGTGTCAGGGAGCCAAAGGGGCTTCAGTGTGGGACAGAAGAAGAATGCTGAATGTGGGAAATGAGAGACCCTGGAGTAACAAAAAGACTTTATAAATAGAAAATTTTAAAATCCTTTTATTTCACAAGATATTCTGCAGAAAATTATGTGTTAAAGGATGGATAATTCAGGGCCAAACTGGGCTTTGTAGTGAGCCCTACTTCAAAAAAACAATGCCCACAGTTAAGCCTTGTACAGAATTTTTTTTGAACTCTCACAGATAATCTTTTGTAATAAATATATGTAAGGGGCTAGAGAGATAGCTCAGCAGTTAAGAGCACTTGGTGCTCTTGCAAAGGACCCAGGTTTAGCTCTCAGCACCTGAGATGGCAGCTCATAACCATCAGTAATCCCAGTTTTGGGGGGTTTTTTGGTCTTTTTGAGACCAAATAAAATAAATAAAATAGGGATTTGGGGCTGGAAAGATGACTCAGTGGTTAAGAACATGTACTGCTCTTACAGAGGATCTGAATTCAGTTCCCAGCACTCATGTGATGGCCCACAACCACCTGTAACTGCAGCTCCAAGGGAATCCAATGTCTCTGGCCTCTACCACTACCTGCATTCATGTGCACATACTCACACACATACCCCCACCCACATACACATACACATACACATAATTAAAAATAAAATGTTTTTTTAAAGCCAGGATTGCCTGATAACAAATGTCAATAACAACACTACACACAGGTGTTTAAATTAAGCTTAAACTATCTGAAAAGTAGAGGAACCAAATCTGTGAATTCCAAACTGAAACACAAGGTTCAGTATCTCTGGATCCCTGCCTAGCCAAACACACACACACAGACACAGACATAGACACACACACACAGACACACACACACACACACACACACACACACACACAGAGGAAATGTGTAACTTACATGGTAGAAAACATCCTTAAGGTAGGTCTTTAGGTATGCACAATAAGGCCAATCAAACATAAGCTCACTGTAAAAGACACAAGATAACAAATCAAGGCTGGTGACAGAGCTCAGTGGTAAAGCACCTGCCCGCCATACGTGAAGTTCTGGATTACACCCCCAACACTGCTAAATATAAAAAGAAACAAAACACTATATTACAGAATCACCAGAAATAGCAGACTGTAAACTTTACCACTGAGGATTTCAGATATTGAAAGTACCAAAGGGTTTTTTAAAAAAACCCGACACAAGCCTTTAATCCCAGCACTTGGAGGAAGAGGCAGGTGGATCTTTGTGAGTTCGAGGCCAGCCTGGTCTACATAGTGTGTTCCAGGACAGCTGCGGCTACAGGGAGACCCTGACTCAAAAAAGACAAAAAAAAAACCGACACAGGTGGCACACACCTGTAGTCCCAGCACTTGGGAAGGCAGAAGCAGGCAGATCTCTGTGAGCATGTAGCTCAGTTGGTAGAGTACTTAGCATGCACAAGGCCCTGGATTTGATCCCTAACACCATAGAAAACCAGATATGTTGGCACATGACTATAATCCTAGCACTTGGGAGATGAAGGGAAGAGGATCAGGAGTGCAAGGTCATTCTTGGCTACATACCAAGTTAGAGTTCAATCTCAGCTATGTGAGACCCTATCTCCAACTTTTTAAAATTAAAAGTGATTAAAAATAAGCAAGCAACAATAGGTTATTATGAAAAATTAGCAAATAGGGGCCAGTGAGATGGCTCAGCAGGTAAAGGTGCTTGCTGCCAAGCCTGATGACCAGAGTCCCAGGCTGTAATCTCATCATGCCTGTAACCTCAGCTACTTGGGAAGCTGAGGCAGTAGGCACTCAAGTTTGAGACCAGCCTGGGCTACACAGTGAGACTGTTTTCAAAACACAAGCAAAACACAGGCCTTCCAGATTACTCAATGGGTAAAGAGGCTGGCAACCAACCCTGACAACCTAAGTTCAATCCCACATGGTAGAAGGAGAGAACCAACTCCAGTAAGGTGTTTTCTGACCTCTGGAACAACTCCTGTAAGTTTTCCTCCAACCCCAAATGTGCATGTGACCTGAACACACACACGCACACACACACACACACACACACACACACACACACACAAATAAGTATAATTTTTTAAAAATTTAAACACAGGGCTGGAGAGATGGCTCAGTGGTTAAGAACACTGGCTGTTCTTGCAGAAGACCCGGGTTCGAATCTCAGCACCCACATGGCAGCTAACAACTGTCCTAACTCCAGTTCCAGGGGATCCGACAGCCTCTTCTGTCCTCCGTGGGCACTGCATGACACAGGTGCACTTACCTACACGCAGGCAATACATACATACACATAAAATAAAAATAATAAATAAAATATTTTTTAAAAAATTAAACATGGGGCTGAATAGACGGCTCAGTTGGTAAAGTGCTTGCTGTGCAAGCATGAGGACCTGAGTTCAATCCCCAGTACCCACATAAAAAAGCCAGATGCAGTGACTCATGCCTGTAATCCCAGTGCTGGAGAGGCAAAGACAGAAAGATCCTTGAGGCTTGCTGGCCAGCTATTCTAAATCAGTGGGTTCCAGGTTCAGTGACAGACCCTATCTCAAAGAAATAGGTGGCTGGGGATGGAGAGATGGCTCAGCAGTTAAGAACACTGGTGGTTCTTGCAGAAGACCCGGGTTTGAATCCCAGCACACACATGGCAGCTAACAACTGTCCATAACTCCAGTCCTAGGGGAGCCAACAGCCTCTTCTGACCTCTGAGGGCATTGCATAACACAGGTGCACTTACCTACATGCAGGCAATACACACATACACATAAAATTTTTAAAAATAAATTAAATTTTTTAAAAATTAAAAAAAAATAGGGTGGAAGCCGAGTGTGGTGACGCATGCCTTTAATTCCAGCACTTGGGAGGCAGGGGCCGGGGAATCTCTGTGAGTTCAGAGCCAGCCTGGTCTACATAGGGAGTTCCAGGCCAGTGGGGGCTACAGGGAGACCCTGTCTCAAAAAGACAAAAAACAATGTGGAGATGATAGGAGACACCAGATGTTGACCTCTGGCCTCTACACACACACATGCACATATGTGCACGAGCACACACACACATACACACAAAATGAAAAGGAATTGCCTAGTCAGATATGAATGTTATATAATTACAAAATTATGGAAACACATAGTATCATATATAGATGAATAAATTAAATAGAACATATCAAGAATAGACATGCATATATGAAAACAATATTCAGCAAAATGGTTGACAAATAAAGCTGTGGAAAAAGATTCATCAGGCTTGGGGTGGCATTACAAATCTATGGGGCAAGACAGACTGCTCAGTAGGAAAACTGATTATTCATATGGGTAGAAATAAAATCAATTCTTTACTCACACCAAATTCAAAATGCAAGCCCTGACAGATTAAATACAGAAAGTAAAACCATAAGCTTTCAGAAGGAAATGCAGGACATTATTTCCATTATCTTAGTATGGGTAGATTTCTTTAGTCATAAAGAGCATTAACCACAAGAGAGATTAATAAATTCAATGTTTAAATTAAGAACTTCTGTTCATCAAAGACACCATAAAGAAAATTAAAGAAAAAAGTCACAAACTGAGAGATTTGCAACATGTAACTGATTAGTATACAGAATACATAAAGAATTCTAATTCTCTGGGTTAAAATTGAACACACATGCATTTTGACCCCTGCCTGAAACCCTTCTGAAACCACAGTAAATGGATACTTAAGACAGAATCTCACAGGGATGGTGAGAAAGAAGGGGCCATGGCGAGGAAAGTCTGGCAAGCAGAAAATATGATGGAGAAGCAGAAACTGATTTAGCAGATCTGAGGAAGCTGAATCCAAGGCCAGCAGTGGAAAACCAAGGCATAATTCAGCTTAAGAATGCAGAATTTCAAAAAGGCTCAGCAACTGGCAATCCTAGTTCTCTGGAACTGAAGATGGGACAGAATCAAGGCTAAAATAAGGATTATTTGAAAGCCATTTAAGAAGCAGTTAAGCCGCCTAATCTCATCTATGCCTTGCCACAGGGTGACTGCCTGTCTCTGACTCTGAAAAAGTCACAAGGCTTATTTTTTTTTTTTGGCAAGAATCTCGAAAGCAGATGAACGTCCATATACTGAATACTAAAATCCCCAGTAGCCCTCCGCACAGATTCTCCACAGGGTCTAAGAACACTGGCAGCTAAGTCATCACCCTAGGCCAAAGATTAAAGGAGCCTTTCTAAAGAATCTGATCCCTACAAGAGGAAAGATGTGTGGAAACTGACATTAGCGTTTGCAGACAACTCTCAATCAGACTAGTGGTAGATGCCCCACCAGTCCCACAGTGGTGCCCCGGGTTGGCAAAGCCCACCCATAGCCCAAAGCCTTAGATAAGCTCTTTTGGTTTTCTACTGATGAACTTGAGCAAAGACCACAGACATCTGAAAAAAGCCTCAAACAGAAAAATTGATGATGCCTGTGAGTTTTTCTAAATGGTTTGGGGGGAGGGGGTTGTGCCTGTGTGCCTTCACTCCTGGAGGCCTGGGGTTGACATTGTCTCCCTCTGTCATTTTTTAAAAGTATTTTATTTATTATTTTTATGTGTAATTGCCTGCATGTAGGTAAGTGCACCCGTGTCGTGAATCCGGGTAAGAACAGTTGGTGTTCTTACCCGCTGAGCCATCTCTCCAGCCCTCTCTGCCATATTTTTTTGAGACACGGTATTTCACAAACCTGGAGCTCAGGGTTTGGGCTAGTCCCACTGGCCAATGAGCTCTAGGGATCCATCCACCTGTCTCTGCCCCCTGTCCTCCAGTACTGGGGTTACAGGCACGCTTTGCTGTTGCTTGGCTTTCTTACACTGGTGCTAGGGATCCAAACTCAGGTCCTTGAGCTTGCCTAGCAGGCACTTTACTGACTCATTCCTACTCTTTTTTTTTTTTTTTTTTTTTTTTTTTTGGCCTTTTTGACACAGGGTCTCTCTGTAGCCCCAGCTGGCCTGGAACTCCCTATGTAGACCAAGTTGGCCTTGAACTCACGGAGATCCACCTGCCTCTGCTGGGTGCTGGGATTAAAGGCATGTACTACCTTAACTCTTTTTATATTTATATGTATGTGTATCTGACTGTTTAGTGTGTGGTTGAGTATATTTGAGTGTGTATATATGGATACACATCTGTGTACAGGTTTTGGTGTTGTGGTTGTTGTTTTAAGACAAGGTCTCCCAATGGCCCAACTGGCCTGGAAAACACTACATAGACCAGGCTGGCCTTTATCTCACAGTGATTCACCTGCCTCTGCCTCCCGAGTGCTGGGACTAAAGGCATGCACCATCACATCTGTGTGTGTTTATGTGTGTACTACTGTGTGTGTGTATGTGTGTGTGTGTGTGTGTGTGTGTGTGTGTGTGTAAACTTCAGGGAAATGCTAAATCATGGCACCCTTGCTGCACGTGTATGTCACCGTGCCAGATCTGGCAGGACATCATCAGCTAAGCACATCATCCCAGAAGCCCCTGAGCCAAAGACTTTTCTGGGAGCAACCTGGCATCAGCCATAGCCACAAAAAGCCTTTGCCCTTAAGATCATAGGGGCAAAGTGGTTTGGTCCCAGCTGCCTTTTCAGACTGTGGAACCTATACCTTACTTGGGCATTCTGCCCTCAACTGAAGACAAGGGGATCCTAAAGGGATGTCTTCATTTGGGTTTCCACAGATCTAGCCAAACAACAAGTAATGGGCTGAGATGAAGTGAACTTCAATAATCTAGAAGGCCTAGAGTTCAGAACAAGAACAGGAAAAAGATAAGGTTGAATGAGAACCAGAGTAAAGTGAGGGGCAAGGGTAATAATATTGGTGTTGCAGTAAGAGCCACAGAAGAATCAGGGTCTTGTCAGAGACAGGATTACATTTTAAAGCAGGTGCCCCACCAATCCCATCCTTCGACTCGAAGGTGCCAGATTCCCAAAAGCCCTCCCTGTCTGTGAAACCTGCATTAGGCAGCCATGTCCCAGGCAGCTAGTCTTTCCTGAAGTTCTCTCTCTCTCTCTCTCTCTCTCTCTCTCTCTCTCTCTCTCTCCCCTCTCTTTTTCTCTCTCTCTCCCTCCCTCCCCCTCCCATCTGACTCAGACCATGCACTGCCACATGGATCCTGAAGCCCTGCAGAAGATGGTCAAATATGCTGCAGAGGATTATACCTACAAGAGGTCCATATCAGGCCACCCTTACTTGCCTGAGAAATACTGTCTCAATCAAGATGAAGGTAGGAACTTACCTTCATCTTGACCTCAGCAGTGACCCCAACAATGACCCACAACTTGAACCCAATTTGGATCTTGACCTGATCTTCCATTTCTACTCATGACCTAGACCTCCTCCCTAACTAACCCTCTCTAAAACCTCTCAGTCACCCATTTCAACCTTGACCCTGGAAGAAAAGACTCAAACCTAGACCTTTGGGAGTTCCCAGTCTGAAAAATAGAACTGGAAGTGAGATAGGCATATGACTGTAGCCTCAGCTGCTCAGGAAGTTGAAGCAGGAGGATCACTTGAGCCTAACAGTTCAGGGCCAGCCTGGACAACATAGCAGGATACCATTGGGAAGAAAAAAAAATCCCTGAAGGGCCCTGGGTCTCATCCTCAGCAAGATGGAGAGAGTATTAGCCCTCCAGATCCACCTCTCCCCATCTCCTTAGATGGTCCATCAGTGTTCTCCATCTCTCCTATGTCTTCCAGCCTCACTGTACCTCTTTCCCTCAACCTGGGACATTTTCTATAAAAAATTTTTCTCTTTCACAGCCAAGATTCTTAGAAGCATAGTCTATACCTTATATATATTATGAAAAATTACTTTTTTACTTTGGTTAAATGTTTATGATCTGTCTTCATGTCCATTTTGAAAGAACAAAGTATAATCTTATTTACAGTTGTACCCTATCCACCATGAGACTTCATAAGTACCTATATTCATAAGCATTTGTTGAATGGATTGATAACTCCACATTCAATTTAGGAGTCTGCATCTCCTACACTCAAACATTAAAACTGCATTTGTTGGTTCTGATTATCACATTCCTCACTCTATCTTGTGAGACTGGCTCTGCATATCACTCTTCTGACTACCCTCTTCTTGAAACTATTTCCTTCCTCAACTTCTCTGAGCTTCACTTTCCTAAGTCTCTTGCACACCCACTGTGGAAATGTGGAACTCCTCAGGGTACTATCCAGAGCCATCTTCTCTCCTATTCTTCCCTTAAAGCCATGTTATATAACCCATCCACGGCATTAATTATTATAGTCCAAACTTTTCTTTTCCAGCCTTGACCTCTCACCCACATTCTACTTTCTTATATCTGATTATGGCCACCATGACCAGACACTCCAAACTCAGTATGTCAAATCCCCCAATTTGGAGCTGCAAACCCCACCCTCTTCCCCCTTCCCTCACACGCCTGTTCTTCTTGAGCTTCTTGTATGGTTTTATAGGGTCTGGGGTTTTTTGTTTGTTTGTTTGTTTGTTTGTTTTTTGGTCTTTTTGAGACAGGGTCTCTCTGTAGCCCAAGCTAACCTGGAATTCACAGTATAGCCAAGAATAGCCTTGAACTCTTGGTGAACAACCAGCTTCAGCCTGCCAAGCACTGGAATTACAGGCATGTAACCTTCAGGCCCAAGTCCTCTTTCATCCTGTCTCTCATATGAGTTCTTTCAGACTTCTAAGGAGTGGACTATAGAGGGCCTTATAAGACAAGGTTAAGTGGCAGTACAGTATTAAGGGGTCTGAACTAGGGTAGTATGTTGGTCAAATTTTTAGTTTTGGAAAAATACTACAGCTTCTATGCTGATGCTGGATTATAGGACTTCCAAGATGAAGCAAGCAAACCAGCAGACTAGTCATAATAGCCTCCTGTACGTCAAGCATTCTTATTCTTCTTTTCTTTTCCTCGTCTTCCTCTTCCGTCCTCTCCCTTTCTTCTCTTTAGGCAGAGTCTCGTGTAGCCCAGGCTGGCTCTGAGCTTCATATATAGCTAAGGGGTGGCCTTGAACCTTTTTTTTTTTAAGATCTCCCTGTAACCCCAACTGGCCTGGAACTTGCTACATAGACCAGACTGGCCTCAGGCTGGCCTCAATTTCATGGAGATCTGCCCACCTCTACCTCCTAAGTGCTGGGATTAAAGGCATGTGCCACCATGCCCAGTGGCCTCGAACTCTTGATATTCCTGCTTCTGTCTCCCCAGTGCTGAGATTACTAGGCATATACCATTTAGGGTCTTTTGTCTGTTTGCTTTTGGACAGGATCTCCCATAGTCTCAGCCTGCCTGGAACTTACTATGTAGACCAGGCTGACCTCAGTCTCACAGAGATCAGCCTGCCCCTGCCTCTTGTGCTGGGATTAAAGACAAGCTCTACCATGCCCCTCATTATTTTGATATTTTTGAAACAGAGTCTCATTATGTAGTCCAGGCTGACCTTGAACTTGGGGGTAGTCTTCCTGCCTCAGTCTCATGAGTGCTGGGATTACAGGCATGAACCAATATACTCAGCATTTTTCTAAAAATTTTATATAGATTAACTCATTTAAACTTTACAACAACCCTACCCTTTTTCTCACAGCATTATTGAAATTTGGAGTCAGGTACCATACTGCAGAGTACATTTCTAAGCATGATATTATTTTGTCTCCTAGTGAAGGCAACATAAGGATAAAGGAGTGAAATCATGGAGGAAGGGGGAATAAATTCAAGCAATTTTTTTTGGTCTTTTTGAGACAGGGTCTCCCTGTAGCCCCAGCTGGCCTGGAACTCACTAGGTAGACCAGGCTGGCCTTGAACCAGGCCTGCCTCTACCTCCCGAGTGCTGGGATCAAAGGTGTTCACCACCATACCCAGCATATTCAAGCAATTTTAAGGTTGAATAGGCAAACCTTGGGGCCTGGATATAGAAGAGAAAGAGAGAAATTGGTTACAGGCCAATTCAAAGAGTGTACAGCCAGGATGAAAACTGATAGTACAATGGATTCAGACCTTGCTCAAAACCTTGCCTTAGGTAGGACATTGGCTGCTCATCAATGTCGAAAGAAAGAGTGGAAAGCAGGGAATGGTGTCCAGCATTAGGGAGGGTGAGGCAGGGTGTCCAAAATAATTTCTTTTTGAGACAAGGTCTCCCTGTAGCCCCAACTGGCCTGGAACTGGCTATGTAGACTAGGCTGGTCTAGAACTTAGAGATCTGCCTGCCTCTGCATCCCAAGTGCTGGGATTAAAGGCATGCACCACCACGCCTGGCTGTAAATTTTTTGGTCTTTTTGAGACAGGGTCTCCCTGTAGCCCCAGCTGGGGTGGAACTCACTTTGTAGACCAGGCTGGCCTCAAACTCACAAAGATCCCCTGCCTCTGCCTCCTGAGTGCTGGGACTAAAGGTGGGTGCCACCATGCCCAGCCCAGCCATAATTTATTTTTTAATGGGAAGGGGATGTTCAAGGCTAGACTTTCTAACTGGCCTGAGGTCAGTGAAGATCAGCTTTGTGATGGAGATCTGAGAGGAAACATCTAGGGGGTCCCAGGCTCTGGTGAAGTAAGGAGTAATGCTATCTGACATCTCCACCCCTATGATGAAGATGATTAAATGTTGTACAAGCTACCTGGGCAGTGACCAGTACAACACATGGAGGACAGGACCTTACAACAGCTACTGGAACAAGTATTCCACCTGCCTTCCCTGACTACCTAAGGTACTCATTGTGCCTACCACAACTGCCTGGGATCTGAGACACATACACAGACACAGACACAGACACACACACACACACACACACACACACACATGCTCACACACACATGCAAAAATCATCTCCCACACTTTCAATGAGTGTTATCAGTTCCTACAATGATGCTCAATTCCTCTCCTAAAACAGTGCTCAATAACTCTCCTCCATCTGTAAAACTAGGAGTATTTTGTAGCTGAAAATGGAGCCGAGGAGTTAGGCTGTGATAGACCCTTGGTTTCTAGTCTCTGACCAGGCTTGGTGGTGACATGGCTGGTGTGCAATCCTTGATCTGCTATCTTTAAAATATTTTTATTTATTTTTAAATATTTTTATTATTTTTATTTTTTGTGTATGAGTGAATTGACTGCATATAAGTGAACTCGTATTGTGCAATGCCTGCTGAGGTCAAAAGAGGGCATCAGATTCCCTGGAGCTAGATTTACGGATGGTTGCTAGCTGCCATGTGGGTGCTAGGAATCAAACCTGGGTCTTCTGCAAGAGCAGCTAGTGCTCTTAACTGCTGAGCTACCTCTCTAGTCGTGTGTGTGTGTGTGTGTGTGTGTGTGTGTGTGTGTGTGTGTGTG